CTTCGTCTGTATATAAAAATTAAAAATTCAAGCAAAAATCTGGCCTGCATGAAAAAGAGGCTTCTCCTGGGCATATGGTTCATTATGCGCATTTATTTAATTACTAAAACATTCGAGATGGTTCTTTCTCTCTCGCCTGCCCTTAAATTCAACTTGCAGTTAGATCTGTTCTTTAGCATGGAATATTTGAAACGGCCAGAAAGAGGTGAGCTGCAGTATTTATAAACTTTTTTTTTTTTGAATTAGCTTGGAAGCATCTTTCTTAGAGAGTGTGAGTTTATGGGAGAGAGACCTGTTTACTGTATGTGCCTATTGTATTACCTCATGTATTACCTGGCTGAGGAATTCTGGGAGTTGAAGTCCACAAGTCATAAAAGGGCCAGATTTGAAGACCCCTGACCTAGGGGGTCTTGGGACAGTAAGATTTAACTTGGGATTTCAAACATTAGGCAAAGCACTAATGTTGGTTCGAAGGTATCACCCGTCTCAAAGCTACATGACACGTGCCTTAAGTACTCATTTGGTTTTAATGTTTTGTTGTTTTTTTTAAGCACAAATGGCTGTTTTAAGTTCCCTGGCCTTTTTCAGATGGTTTTGTGCTTGGAAAGTGAATGACCTGTGGGATTCAGGGCAGTTTTATTGCCTAGTCATGCTGTTGGCAATATTATGGGCTCCCCTTGTTCTCCACCCTTCCTGTTAATTTGGAAACGGAGATATATTTAAAATGCCATCTGATTATTTTAGCGTGTTCTGTAATGCAGGCGTTATGGGTCAATAAAAATGGTAACTGTGTTTAAATCTCCTGTGGATTTGGGTTAGTAGCACATATGCAGAGCTCTCCCCCCCCTTCTGACTGTGACCCTTTCTATTTTATGTGCTGTTGTACAATAAAAGAGTGATTTTCTTCTATGGCACGAGAAGAAGAGCGGCTCAACTTGGCTCAGACCTGAACAGAAACGAAGCGGGTGGGTTGGAAATGATCCATGCTTAGAATGACTCCAGGGTAGGAAAAATGGTAGCAGCAGACAAGCCATTTTATGTTGAAATAGCAATTCAGGAATGGAAGGATTGTGCACGTAGTTGGAAAAAAATTAGTCCTTTAGGAAAAGCATTGGATCAAGGATTTTTCCTAACTAATTGACTCTGGAAGAGATCCGTTGGGAATGAATGCTAGGAAGTCATTTCATAGAACCACAGGGCTGGAAGGATTTGGAGGTCTTCTAGTCCAACCCCCCTGCTCAAGGCAGGAGACCTTATACCATTCCAGACAAATGATTGTCCAGTCTGTTTTTGAAAAACTCCAGCGACAACAAGCTTCCACCCATTGCTTCTTGTCCTGCCCTCAGGTGCTTTGGAGAATAAGTCAATCCCTTCTTCTCTGTGACAGCTCCTTGAGTACTGAAAGACATCATGTGCTCTCTAATCTGTCTCTTCAATAGGCCTATCTATTTCCCTCAATCATTCCTCGTATTGTTCAACCTCCAGTCCCCTTATTGTATTTTCTGCTCTTCTCTGCAGTCTTTATAGGGTCTCAACATCTGTTTTGTATTGTGGTGACCAGAAATGGACACAGTATCCTCTCCGTTTACATTCAGTCCCTTTTCTGTAACAGAGGTGATTGTAGCCCGTTTTAGTTACTGTTAAGACTCTGATGTTTAGGAACAGTTTACAGATTACTTCTCTCCAAAGCTCTGAGGTTAATATGGTGGTTTTATATTCAATCAATCAATCAGTCAGTCAATCAATCAGACAGTCAATCAAAATAGAGCTGGAAGGGACCTTGGAGGTCCTCTAGTCCCACCCCCTTCTTAGACAGGAAACCCTATTCCATTTCAGACAAATGGCTGTCCAATCTCTTCTTAAAAACTTCCAGTGTTGGAGCATTCACAACTTCTGGAGGCAAGTTGTTCCACTGATTAAAACAAAAATCTTTAAAAGTTTAAAAATCTTGTTTATTCATTCAGGTTACAGTCTTTGCCTTCTGGCTCAAAACAGACTTGAGTGTGTGTGTTTTGATCAGGGCTGCCTGTTTATGTGACTTTTTATCTTTTTAAACTTGTTTTACTATTTTTGTGTGGAGTTTGTAAATTGCCCAGAATCTTCTGAAATAGCAGTTGCTACTTTGGACTTCAGCTCTGCTTCTTAGGGACTCCCTAAAAACAGATTTCTAGGGAAATGGTTACCATCAGCCTGAAATAACAATGTTCACAGTAAAAGTGGGAATTTCTATTGAAGCGGCCGTGCACAAGTATCAAAGGGGTGATGGCTGCTCTCTGGTGTTGACTGAACTTGAGCAAATGAAGCAGAATCTTGGTTAATCCTTGGCTGGGTCCCCATTAGGAAGCGGTGGGAAACTGCTTCTGCAGGATTGCCAAGAGAATTTTTGTGTCTTTTTCTTGCTCTCGCCATCCATCCATGTAGTTAGGAACTGAACTTTACTCAAGGGTGACTTTACCACATGCTCGCTTAATCTCGGCTGTTGAAACCCAGATGCCAAAGAGAAATATTTACACGTGAAACGGTCCAGGCCATCAGGGTCTGGGGGCGCCTTGAACGTACGCAAGGATTTCAGCATTCTGAAAATGGGTGCTTTGCTCATGGTGACCCCCTTTGCAAAGATGCCATCCTCAAATACTTTTTATAGAGTGAAGGTTCATTCTCCGAGCTTGTGGATTGGTTTCTGAACATTTCATTACCAGACTAGAGAACGTCTTCAGTAGAGCATAGAGGACTAAACTCTGCTGAAGATGGGACCTAGCCTGGTAACAAAAAATTCGGACAGCAATCCACAAGCTCGGAGAATGAACCTTCACCCTTATCCTACCTCCGAGCGACAGATATTCACCACTATTGCAAACTTTTTACAGCCTTTGCCAAAATAGCACTAGTTCTAATTTAGAAATATGACTGTGTTGCTGGTACATGCCATTGGGACCTCCAGTGAATCCCTACTTCCTCAACTGAGCCTACGATGTTTCCTTGGCAAGATTCCCTCCCTATGGAACTTTTCCATCTTGGGGGAATTTGAAATGGGACCTCTGTTTTCTATTTAAAAGAAAATTGAAATTTGACTAAACTTAGGACTCTCCGTTTGGGCTCAGGGGCAGCTACGTGGAGGCAGATGTTGATGAGATGGGCAAATGAGGATTGGCAGGGTTGAATGGACTTTTAATATGTATTTGGGGAGGCACCCTCAGGAAGAGATGAGTGTATGGAGCCCCTTTCTGTCTATTCTTTTTTCTAGGTGTAGTGTCCACTCTAGGAATTACACAGTCATTTTCATGTACTTCCCATCTCAACACACATAACTATACTTGTGGTTTTCAACACGCCTGCTCCAAGCTTGTTCTCAAAGCCATCCAAAGGGCAGTTGAAGGTTGCATGCAAGCCACCCATCAGATTCTGGATCTCCAGCCTCTTTGCCATTGGGGCTGGTGAAGGGGGAAAACATTCTCAAAAACTCCCTTATGATTAGAACAATAGGATTGGAGATGTTCCTTTAAGGGGGAAAAAAAGGGTTCTGCAAGAGGTTACTTTTTTTCTGCCCTTTTACATTGTGTGTGTGTGTGTGTGTGTGTGTTTGGAGATGCTTTAAACCTTTTGTATAGATTTATCTGCTTTCATTGTTGATATGCATGTAAGATTTAAAAGGAGAAACAGTCCTTGAAGATTACACTCGGACCAAGAAATATAAAAGCATCTAGGCTGATGTATCTGACATGAATGCAAACCTCCGGAGGTTGGGCAGTCAGGAATCAGAGGTTAGCAGAGACGCAAAGCTACAAGCATTATTTTCAGATGTAAAGTCTTGAAAGCTTTCTTCTCCTATCTTTCTTGCGTTCCTTTAACGTTATGTTTGGTTCTTGGTGGAGCTTCATGCAAATAATGTAACTAACCTGCCTACTCTGTTTTGCCAGGTGTTTGTGACCACAGTGTGGCATTTTGAGCCCTACATGGTGCCCTTAGCGTTGTTGATGCTCTTTGTGTACAACATCTCCCTGAGCAGTCCTGATAAAGCCTTAATCATACAAGACCCCCAGGTAGGTATAGTGTGTGTGTGTGTGTTATTTTTCAGATCCATCTGGGACTTCATTTGTGCAATGTAGGAGAATGAGAATCAGACAAGGGTAACCTTTTCTAGGCCAACACCGCTCTCATCCTTGGAGGAGCATGCTGACATGGTTGGTAAATCCCAGTTGATACCCTTAATTTTATTGCTCCATGAAACACAGCCTGGGAATCCTGTAATTGCTTGGGGAAATCATCACTAAGAGTGCTTGTTGGTTCTCCAAAAAGTGGATGAGATTAAGAATTTATTTATTTCCTGGACTTATGAGTTCCTCCAACTCTGAGCAGCAAACAGCAATCTCACAAATGAAGGAAGTATAACTGTCTCAGGATAATGTTATAGGATCAATCTGAGTCACTCACCGGGACCAAAGCTTTATTCTTCCAAGCTTTGGGGCCCATGCTGGAGCCCATTATCAGGGAACTTCTCTCTCCAGAGTGTACACTGGCCTGTTCTATGTGTTGTATTTATATTGTGCCTGGTTGTGTGCAGCTTTCAGTTGTTAATTAGGATGTTGATGGCTAGCTATTTAGTTGTTAATTGTTGTTTCCTGTGCCACTGCACCCTCGTCTCCTAAGTATCTGATAAGTTGGTGGTAAAACAGCACCCCTATTGACTGACAAGGTGCCCGTTTCCCAGGCTTCAATCATTTCTCTAGCTATTTTTGTACCTGCTCAGCTAACAATCATAATACTTGTGAAATTGAATGAATGTCCTTGTTCACTGCAGCGTGAGGCTACCAATGAGTTCAGGTCTCCTGTCTAACCACTTGCTCATGTTCTCGCAAACAACAATCTATATCAGTGCTTCACAAACCTTTTCCTTCATTGCCCAAAACCATTTGTCAGGAAATTGTTTTTATACAAAACACTTTAAATCAATTTAAGCATCCATGTTGTGATTGGGTAATGGGTTTGTGTGTTGGTATCTAAAGAAAAAAAAAACACTTTTACCCAGGATTTGGGAAGCACTGGTGTATCTGATTGCTTCTTGATATTTAATCATTTTCTCCTATTTCTGTCTTAAAATTAAAATTTGTCAGCAGCTTTGGAACTGCCTATCCCCCCCATTTTGGAAGGAAGCACACGCTGCAACAGAATTAAGAGACAGCGTCTTAAAGCAAATTGGAACCATTTAAACACCCCCATTTTATTGCTGTTGTAAAACTGATAATATTAATATTGCTGTTTGGTTGTGAGTCTCTAATGGGTTTCTTCTCCTGCCTCCCCAGAGATATGACAAGTTTCATTTTTACTTAACCAACTATTTCGAGCATGCTGAGAACAATGACAAATGATAAGAGGCCAGATGATCCTAGCTAAATCCTAAGTCCACATTTAGCATGTTTTTTTATTATTATTATTGCATCTGGAAAATGAGAGCTTTTCCCACTAGAGGAGATTTGGGAACAAACTAGCCATTAAATGCAAGAAGAAGATTTTCACAGAAAGGGTATAAAAGTCTAGCAAATTCAATCTAGGCTGAGGATACAGAGTTACAAACTATTGCTCTTCATCACTCCCCCTCTGGTGACCCTTCAGTGGCTCACTAAAATCCGAGATGTTGTGAAGAACAGCTAAACACATGATGGATGTTGTTATAGATTGTTCTTTTGGCAGTTTCCTGATCCTACTGTGTTTTTGCAAAGTTCTCTCTCAATGAATGTGTACCAAACTCTTCTCCACACTCAAAATAAAATATACATGTTGGGGTAATGAGTGATACTCGTTACCAATCCTTTGTTCATGCCCTACATATATGAAGGCAAGTTCCAAATCCTAATAAAAGTATTCCTTGATTCATGACCTCAGTTGAGTCCAAAATTCCTCTTGTTAAGCAAGACAGTTGTTAAGTGAGTTTTGCTCCATTTTATGACCTTTCTTCATGTAGGACTCTAATATGTGTCTGATGTTTCTAATCATTATTTTTGTAGCATGAGAAGTCAATTATATTGTGTGATTGTTTGCCATTCTGTTAGGTCTTCTTTCTTTACTATTGGTGGGAATATTGACATCTACCAATCAGTTGGTCACTATGTTGTTTTCCAGATTTGTTGGCATAGTGTAGCTAAACCATTACTGGTTTTGTTGTTGTTGTTGTTGCATGCTATATATCTTCAGTTCCCGAAACTTTCTGATTTGGTAATGTGTAGGAGGGTTGAATAACAAATTAACAGAGTTGAAAAGGATCTTTTAGATCGTCTAGTCCAACAACCTGCTCAGGTACGAAACTCGATACCATTTCAGACAAATGGATGTCCAATCTCTTCTTAAAAAGCTCCAGTGATGGAGTACCCACAACTTCTGTAGTGAAGCCAAACTACTGATTAATTGTTCTCATTGTCAGGAAATTTCTGTTTAGTTCTAGGTTGGTTTTCTCCTTGACTAGTTTCCATCCCTTGATGGTTGATATAATTTCACCTTCTTTTCCTAGAAATTTTCATAAATAGAGAGTAACTTCCAAAATATTTTGGATGTTGACCCTCCTACAGTTCAGTAGACCTCTTCCATCTTTGTTTGATCTTATTTGTATCAGCTCCCATCCATAAACTGGCATCTTTTAGGAAACAAATTCAAAGTTGGAACTCAAACTCTGTCTGAGTTCCTTTGGAAAGCTGTTCTTCTTTTTCCCTGTCTGCTTCCATGTCTTTACAGATGTTGCCCTATTGCTTCTCATCTCCTCTAACCAGCTCTCTGACATTCTTTGTTGAGTTCTTTTTTGTGATCTTTGTCATTCTTGGCCTGGACTTCTCTTCTGTTCTTGGCAATTTCCACTGTCTCTTCTGACATCATCTGTTTTCTTCTGTTTCTTCATCTTTGGCCGTCAGTCTCTTTTCACATTCACCCGTCACAACTTTTTCTTGGTTTCTGTGACCTTAATAAAGATTTCATTTTGTTTCACAGTTCCTCTGGTTCCCTATCAATGAGGTTTAGGACTTGAAAAAGATTCCTAATGGGGGATATATTCTCAGATCCATATTTCTGAAAACTGACTGGCTTTCTTCTTTCATTTTAGCTTAACCTGGAACTTACACATGAACAGTTTATGATCTCTTTCACAGTCAGCCTGTGGCCACATTTCTCTATTATATTTTTCTGGAAGTCTTCCTTACAACTGAACTCTTATAACTGAACCCTTCCTTTTCCTGGTACCAATAATATGGTCGTAATATAAGTTCTGTATGCTGTGTTTAGTAATGTTCTTGTCTATAGGCGTTCTGGTGGTTGTAGTAGCCATAAAAAAAATAACTGGATTAGCAGAAATTGATCTCATTCTCCTGCTTCATTTCTGTTTCTTTGGCCATACAATCCAACTACACTTGACTAAAGATCACAATTGAGGACATAAAGGGGGAGTAGCCATACATACCAGTTGCCATGGGACTTTGTCTGATCCTCTACTAAGGCCATCTAAACAACTGGCCAAAATGTCCGAAAGGTGCTTTTTCAGAAGGCAACTGGTCTGTGGTTTTCCTTGAAGACATTTCACTTCTCATCTAAGAAGCTTCTTGGATGAACAGGGAACCCTCTTCAAGGAAAAACCTCTTCAAAAATTGCCTTTTGAAAAAGCACCTTTGGGACAACCATGACCAAGTTGACTGAGAATCTCCATAGACAATTGGCCAAAATGTTTCACATTTTCAATTATTTCTCCTTGATCTCCATGAGAAGAGGGAAGACGACTAATTGAGCAAAACCTGGAGATGCCCAAAATAGCAGAGGACAGAACTGAAGCATTTTCTGTCTTCCATCCTTATGGGACCAAAGCAGAGAGTTTGCAACCATTGTTCCTTTACAATTTGCCTCACTTGGGATGACCCATAGGACCCATACTGTGCCATACGTTAACATCAGGGTCCTTTTACCTTTAATCTGCATTTCTCTTTGTTGCCAAGACAACTTAATATTTTGCTTTATAGAGCCTTGTCCTAGATTAATTTTCCCTTTCCCTGAGCTCCCACCTTCTTTGTTGTAATTTTTCAGCAAAACTGTTTTTAATTTTGCTTTGGTGGATCTCTTTCATTCTATTATTTGTGTACCTTTATTAAAGCATATAAGGCTTTTTTTTTTTAAAAAAATCAGCCTATTCACACACTAGCATTCAACTAACCCAAAAATATTTTTATATGTTGCCTGTAAAAATATATATATATATATATACCGAGATTCAAGTTGCCCTGACATTTCACCATAACCTCACTCTCTTTTTTAACCCTCTCTTTTAACAATTGGCGTGATAATGCTGTATAGAATTTTGTATCTGATTCTTAAGATTGATTACGTACGTGCTAATGTGTTTTCTGCCTCCTAATGTTTTCGTAATGGCCCTAAAGGGAGGGAACAATCATTGAAATAAGCAACAATAGGAGAAAAAAACCGGAGTGTTCAGAATCTCAGCCTTGACATTCCAACTGGTTCATTTGTCAGATGATGAACAAAAACCTCTTACCAGTAGAGAAACTTGGCAATGAATTAAAATAACATAAAATAGGGTCTCTCAAAACCTCCTGGCCTTCAGAACAGTTAGACCTCACATGTTTTGTTAACATGTTTTCTTGGATGAGGGCTAGTTGGTGCTGCTGTTTTTCTGGGTTTTTTTTTTTTTTTAAGCCTTCGTGTCCTTGAGAATTAAAGAAAAAGATGATTGTTAAAGGAAAAAAATAAATTAGTGATTTTTAATTAGCATTGTGGACATACTTATCACACGGTTCCTTTTTGAGATAAGCAGTTTTGTGCAAAGCACAGGAAAGGCAGAAAAAAATTCTTTGTTGTTTTACTTTTTAAAAGCATGTGACTCCAGAAAGGGTATTTTGGACTTCATGGTCCCATCAAGTGAGCAAAATTTAGGACTTGACTGCCCATTGCAGACAATGGATTCACTTAATAACTGCAATGTTTGTGTAATGACTCTCACAAAATAGGTTGTAAAATCAGGGCAATCACCCAGTGACCCACTTAACAGCTGGAATGACTTACAATCATAGGGGCAAGCTCAATTAGGGCCGTAAGTCAAGGACTACATGTACATGTATTTTATGCTGGCTACAGGTTTTCTACCAAATAAAATATAATTTCCATCTTTCCAAGGAACTACACGGAGAGCATACTTAAAGATATAATGTTCAGATACGAATCTCTTTTTATATACTGTGGTAGAATTTTTTAGATGAGCAAATACTGGTAGAAAGTTAGAGAAACTTTTATGGAGGGCAAATATTGCAGGATCCAGTTTGGACCAGAGCTTTCATCTTCTGAGCTTTTGGACTTGTGCTAGAGTCCATCCTGAAGGAACTTCTATCTACCAGAATGTGTGCTTTGGGCTGTTCTGTATGTTGTATTTATGTGGTTGGGTGTAGGTTCCTATTGGTTGATTGATGTGCTATGGCTGGCTATTGGCTGTTTACTTGGGCTGCCAATCATTGCTCTGGCTACTTTTGTACCTGCTCATCCAACAATCTTAGTAGAAGCGAAATTGAATGCATGTCCTTGTTCATTGCGGTGTGAAGCTACCAATGAGTTCCGATCTCGTCACTCCCCACTGCTCACTTTGGTATATGGAAATGAGAGTTGGGTGTGCCAAAAGAAACTGAAACTTCAGTCAGATATTGTGGAAGTGGCATACTTTTGTGTGTGTGGATAAAACAAGAGGAAAGAGAAGAATGAATGGCTGCTGGATTGATGTGGATGGAATCCAAGAAGGAATCACTGATATGAATGATGTTAAGAACATATTGCCCTACAGAGAGAATGAATGAGGGCTGAATCTGAAAACCTATACATGAAAGAAGAATGAGTGAATTGAGAAAAAGAGGAAGAGTGAGAAAGTGATGGCTGAACGGAGTTCATAAAAGAACCTCAGGAAGACAGTGGTGAAAGTTTAAAGAATAAAAAACCATGTACAAATAAGTGTATGGGCATGCTGGAAACAAGAAAGGTAGAATTTGGGGAGGCATAGTAAATAGACGTGATGTACATTAAATTTAGTTATTAGTTCCTTGCTTTTTTCCAATTTCCAGCCTCCGATATAGTTTGCTTACTGTTACTTCCCGTTTTTCTGTGCTTTGCTTAATGTTTGTTCCCTGCATGGGAATTTGCATGGTAGGTAAGTATGTAATTTTTGATTCTCCTTGGACTGATCCAACTTTAAAGTTTAGGTGGATACATGCAAAATCTAGTCTTTGTTTTGGGACACGATAATAGACAACAATAACTAAGTTAAAAAGAAACTTTGAAGAACTCTCTTTATTTGATTTAACATTTTATTGCTACTTCTGACATGTTGATTATTTAGAAATGTTGGCTACATATTATTAGCTTTTATGTTTAATTGACCATTTCACGTTATGTGAATTGTCTTCAATGTTAATTGTTCAATGTTATAATGCCATTAATTCATTCATTGAATTTTGAGGCCTCTGAATTCCATACAACACTGGGTGTACGTAAAGATTAGTTATGAATAGTATATGAATAGTATGTTTTGCTTGCTTTCCTCCCTCCCCCCCCTCTCTCTTTCCTTTTTGCATAAAAACGTATATTTTTTCAAAAGAAATGCTTATACATTTTGTTGACTTTCTCAAATGGTCTAATATTTTTCTTCCTTTTTGATTTTAAAGGACTATATCATTGTAGAAGAGGACGAGGACGAGGATGACAAGGTAGGAGGGAATAATGAAATCTGATAAATTAAACTGGAGAGAAAGATTCTACAAGCATGCATGTATACATACATACATACATACATACATATTGGGAACATTAGTCTAAGAAGACTGATTCCTGTACATAAGAAAAGAAGGTGTTTTGGAAAACCAATTATGCAATTCATTCATTCTTTCATTCATTTATTCATTCATTTATAAAATTTATATTGCCACCTACTCATACATGGCGACTCAAGGCGGCTTACAAGACATAAAAGCACAATATAAAAGAAATAAAAATAATAAAATAACCCCCCAGCCTGGCGATAACACACATGTATTTTGGGCATGTATTATTTTGTTTTGCATCAGGTCAGTAAAATTTGTAAAAGCAGACTTTTTTTTAAAAAAAGAAATGTAATCAAGTACATTCTCCTCTCCTACACAATGCAGCAACTTCTAGGGATAGCAGTTGGCTGGGATGTAACCCAGAGGAACATGGTTTCTATCAAGTTCAAGCTTGTGTTCTTGTCAAAATATACAGAGACCTTTCTTGACCATAACAGAGGGAGCTTCTGGGAATTGTAACATGTCTTTGGAGACTAACTGTTTACAGTGTAGAAACCCTTAGACAGTTAATTAAAAAACAGAGGAACCCAATTAATTCCTTTCCGTATGAACGATCGAACTTTAAACTAAAAAAAAGTTATGCTGCTGGATCCTTTTTTTTTAACCCCCCCCCCCGCCTTTTCCAAACACCAACTATGATGGAATATAATAACAGTTGGTTTCCCAAGCAAGCTCCATTAAAGGTTTCTCCTTAGTGATGGCCTTTAACCACAAAGTCTCTCTTCTTCCATGAAATTGTAAGACATCTAAAACATCACTTTTCTCTCCCCTGCTTCCAGAGGAACACAGGTTTCATTTTATTGTGTACCAAGCAAAAGTTTGAAAAGGATATATATATTTTTCTGAAAAAGCTTATTTTGTCATTAAAGAAGGCCATGCCAAGTTTTCCTGGGATTTGACCGTGTACTGAAATAGGCTTATTTAATGAGAAAACCCCATTTGTTTCTTAGCTTTTCATTCAGTTCTTGGCTGACCAATTACATTTCTGACATTATTGTGAAAAGAAGTTTTCCCCATATATGTAGAGCAAGAGTGGACAACTCTCCCTTAAGGTAGGCTATAGAGCCTCCTCAATGTGCCCTGTTGGATGTAGGTGTCATGTGTGAAACATGAAGGTCCATGCGTGAAGGTTTGCTTTATTGCTAAAAGCCTACAAACAGGAATCTTCTCAACTAATGTGGATACCTAGTTAGAGTCAGATAAGGGCCAATGGCACTCCAGGGGTAGGGTTGCATTTATTTTGCTTCTGGCTATGTAATGATTCTAGGCTGATTCCCCCTTTCACTCCAACCCCAGGATCTGCCACTCCTACAGTGGGCTTCATTCTATTATATGAAAGGAAAGACATGAAAGTCCTACTTAGATTCCCTCCCAGAAAACAAGCACCTCCCCCCCCCAAAAAAAAGAATGGCCTTGCCCATTGTTAGGGAGATTCCTTAAATGTTCAATATGATTCTCTACTGATCTCCCCATGGTTAATTCTTCAAAGGAGCTCGGCACCTCCTATCCCAAAGGTCAGATTGGCCAAGACAGTAGCAGGGCTACTTGGTATGTTACAAAATATAGCCTTCTTTGGAATCAATCCTCAACAACCTCTTTATTCAGGACTGCATGACAAATGTTAAGTGTTTGAATATTTCAGCCTCCCTTGGACCATGTCCAACGGAGCTCATTTTCCAAATGCAGGCTGATTATGTTGTGACAAAAGAGTAAAAATTCTTATTCTGTTCAACATTTTTTTATTTTAAAAAGCTCTTTTCCTTGCAAGGTTGAACTTGCCCTTTTGTGGCCTTGTTTAAGCTAAGTAAATTCTTTCTCTGTTCAGAAGATGCGGGGAAGATATTGAGGAACACAAGTATCATTTAATAAATTCTTAGTTGCAGATTTGTTTGCAAGGTTGTATTTTTTTTTCCTTTTTAAGTACTACTTTTATTAACCATTAAATAAGAGAGTGAAAAGAAAAAAATAGAAAGCGTAGAATAGAAAATCAGAGTTTTCGCTGTACGTGAACAGAAAAACATGAAAAACACTACAGGCTATTGCCTTAATGAATCAGAATGAAAAGTTACATTAATTTACAATATTAATACAGTGATGCTAACAAATCATAACAGTGAATAAAACCAAGGTGAGATTCTATTTAAAACAAAATTATATTCATTAAAGATAGAAAAGAGCACTTCTGCCCTTCTAGAACTTGTTAAGAATGGATCAGGGACTTTGGGCTCCCTTGGGAAAGTATTCTGCAGTTGAGTTGTGTTACAGAAAAGGCCCTGCCCCTTAAATCTACAGACTGTTCCTATCTTGGTGGTAAGACATGTAGACAAGACATGTAGACATCTGTCTATGAAGCAATGTCCTTGTGACTCTTCGGATGTCACGATAAATCCCTGATTCCCACTTAATTCAATCTCTCAGTCCCAAGCAGTCCAGCAAGCTCGCGAGAGAAGATGTAATATTGTGTGGCTAAATTGTGTGATTGCCACATTTTTGTAGTGCAATCTGAGATGTGTAAACAAAGCCAGCAGGATAGCTATCCAACTGCCACATAATGTTCTTCACAGTTCCATGCTGCAAGAACAGGCTTGCTTTGAAAGATCTCACTTGGATGTGTTTATTTCACTGCTGTTAAGAGTTGGTCAGAAGACAGATCGAACTAGGAAAAATATGGCGTGCAGTCCTCTCGACTTTGAATTGGCCTCAGCCATTCATGCTTGGAAGCAGAGCGCCGGAACTTAGGAACCATCAAGGCCTGGAGACCAAAATGCATGAAGAACAGTTACAGGAATTCAGTATGGCTAATCTAGAGAAAAGAAGGACTATGAGAGCTGTATCCCAGTATTTGAGAGGCTATCACAAAGAAGAAGGGGGTCAACCTTTTCCCCCAAGCACCAGAAGGCAAGACAAGAAAACATGGATGGAAAATAATCAAGGAGAGAAGCAACCTAGAACTAAGGAGGAATTCCCTGACAGTAAGAACAATTAACCTTCAGAAGCTGTGGGTGCTTCCCTACTGGAGGCTTTTAAGAAGAGACTGGACAGCCACTTGACTGAAATGGTTTAGGGTCTTCTGCTCCAAGGTCTCTTCCCACTCCGTTATTCTGAATTAATTAAGGGCAGGAGCAACCTAGAACTAAGGGGAACTTTCCTGACAGTGAGAACAATTAACCAGAGGAACAGCTTGCCTTCAGAAGTTGTGGGTGCTCCGTCACTGGAGGCTTTTAAGAAGAGATTGGACAGCCATTTGTAAGGGAATGGTCAAAGGTCTCCTGCTTGAGCAGGGTGTTGGACTAGAAGACTTCCAAGGTCCTTTCCAGCTCTATTCTGACTGATCATAATTATGTTGTCCTGAGCAACACTACAGGTTGACAAGTCTGACTAGTGCTTGACCTCAAACATTTCGTACTATGGGGATGGACATGGGAAGTTGGAAAGAAACATGACCAGAAAGGGAAGATTAAGCATCTTTTGAGACCTGCTGGCCATCTCCATAATTGTCTCAAGTGCAAAATTCATAGGGGGAAAACCTGCCTTAGACACAAAAGTCAGCTCAGTGACTTTGGTGTAGGGCAGGGGTAGGCAACCTTGGCTCTTTTATGACTCGTGGACTTCAACTCCCAGAATTCCTGAGCCAGCCAGGAATTGAAGTCCATGAGTCATAAAAACCAAGGTTGCCTACCCCTGGTGTAGGGAAAAGAGGAGGAAGGAACATTAGGTATGTTTGCCACCTTGAGTTATTTACAAGTAGTTCTTAACCTACAGTTATTCATTGAGCGACTATTCTAAGTTACAATGACATGGAAAAAAGTGACTTATAATTAGTCCTTGCGCTTTCCATAAAGGTGAAGATTGGGACCAACGTTTGGGCTTGAGGGAGAAATTGGCCAAAGAAAAATCAAATTAAAAGTGGACTATAGAGAGCAGAGAAAAAAGGAACCCAGAATATTTCTCCCAAAACACCCCTATGGGAGGGAAGGATGTGGGTTGTGGGTTGTAATGTTGCCAGTTGCTCCATTCTAGATCCTTCATCTGTCTTTTGGCCACATGACCCAGATCAGAAGATAGGCAACCCACCCTGTAGTTCCTGGTGCTCACATACAGAGATATAATATGAGGTGACAGTAGAAATGCATGCCCTCCCTCCACCCCCACCCCACCCATCTTACACAGAAGAAAATAAAGGCGTCTTTTACAGCCACTGTGGACAAAAGGTTCAAGGAGGACAATTTGGAATTGATGTAGAATTTGAAGGACAATTTGGAATGACGTAGAATGATTGAAGCTAAGTGAACTGGGTACACTTTTGAAAAAAAAAAAAAGATTTATACAGAGTATTGAAACAGGGCCTTTACTGAAGAAAAGCCCCAAATGCTTTTAAAACGTTCCTAAGTGCATGCTCGTTTGCAAATAGAAGCAAGATTTTTAAAAACCAGAGTTCAAGGTGAAGCAGCTGAGAAAGACTCTTGTGTGTTTTATGTAGTCATATAACTAACTTTCATTGTGTTTATCAGGGTTTTTCATCAATCCAATAACGTGCTTTATTTCCCTACTTACGTGGTTAAAATAAAAACCTCACAATCATAATCGGGGTGCAAAGCTTTAATGGGGGTCATTTGGTTTAAAGGCACTTTGATTGAGTACTTCAGTGGGGAGATTCTAGAAGTGGCCTGTTGCTTTTGCATAGAATAATCATGCTTCTACCCTGGACTTTTCGGTGGTCTTGGGAGCCATCCACTAGTTAGGCAAGACCGAGTGTTACCCCCAACACTTTGCTTTGAACCCTGTGTTGGAGTTAGGCTTTAAAGCACTGAGAAGACAGCAATGGAGCTGGGATGCACGGTAACATCATATGTTTTGGGATCTTCATGTATAAAAAGAGACGTAGCTCCTTTTCCTACATTGTCTGAATGTATATATAGTTCACGGAGAAAGAAATTGCATTAATGGTGTGGTTGGCAGGAAATGTCATAATTATAGTTAGTGATCAGTGCTGTGCTAGCTCTAAGTAATATAATTTTTGTGCTTCCCTCTGTTTTGCTTTTTCCTCTGTCTTCACCTTCTTTCCTTAAGCAGCCCTGGGTTTGTTTGGTTTTTTTTAAAAAAAATTCTGGCTGGTTTGATTGAAATGTCCACAGAATGCTGGAACAAGAAATGCATCTGGTTGTTTGTTTGCTGGTTTATAAGTCTTTTTAAAAAAAAGGTTTAGTAATTTGGAGAAAACACGACTGTTTTTCAAACTACAATACAACAAGAAGCAGACATATGGATCTGAAATGTAACTATCCTGAATGCTGTTACTTCTGATAACCTCTCTTATAACCTTCTATTGTCTAGGCTACTTTTAAAAAAAGGAAATAATTTTTTTTTCTCCTTCTTTTTCTTCTCTTTCCTCTCTCCTTGTAGGAGTCTGAAAAAAAGGGTTTAATAGAAAGAATTCACATGGTCCAAGACATTGTTATAACAGTCCAAACACTTTTGGAGGAAATAGCATCTTTTGCAGAGAGGATAAAAAAGTAAGTCAAAGTTTTGTTCCTATGCTCTGAAAAACCTCTTGAATACCAGGGCTGGAAACAATTGGGAGGGGAAAAAAAACCCTCTTTAACTGGAAATTTCTAAAAGCCAATACAGAATGGAATAAAGGTTGTTGCCTTCACTTGAATGTAATCCAGTGGTGATAATCTATCATTACAGAATGCTTCTGTCTGAATTTCTTATACATTTAATTATGACTGGACATTTATGGGGAGTCAATTTGGTTTAGTGGTTAAAAGCACTGGGATAAAAACCAGGAAAATCTGGAATGCTAGTTCCATATTAAGTATGAAGCCAGCTTGATGACCTTGGGCCAGTCACTCTCTCTCTCAGCCTTAGGAAGAAGGCAAATCTACCTAAAAATCTGCAGTTGCCAGGAGTCAAGTCTGAATTGAAGGGAAAGGAAGAGTGGGAAGAAAAGGAAAGAGAAAGGAGGAAGGAAGGAAGGAAGGAAGGAAGGAAGGAAGGAAGGAAGGAAGGAAGGAAGGAAGGAAATCTATGGGAATTCTGAAATCTGCGTTAAAAATCCAAGATTCATACAAGTGAATTTCTCTTCGTGGAATGAAAAGTCGTCTTTCCCTATGTGTCAAATGGAACAAAGCTGTTTTTTTTTTTTTCAGGGCAAGGATGCCACATCACACATACTTAACCTGTACAATTCATTCCCACAGTTTAATTTCAATGGCTTCAGGAGATGATTCCAAAACAATCTGGATCATCTGAGACATTAGATCTTCTGCTGGGTTGAAGATTCCAGCTCTTTGTCCAAGTGTCCAAGTGCCTAAGAGTTCTTGGCTGCATAATGCCAAAATTTAAAAAAAAAAAAAATTCCAAAAGCTTCTGAGAAATTAAAATTCCTATCTTCTCCAGCCACTTATCATCTGTTATCAAATCAGTCAATCCTAAAGGAAATCAGCCCTGACTGTTCCTAGGAAGGGCAGATAGTGAAGCTGAAGCTCAGATATTTTGGCCACCAAATGAGAAAAGAGGACTCCTTGGAGAAGACCCTGATGTTGGGGAAAAAGGAAGGCAGAAGGAGATAGGGATGGCAATGGATGAGATGGTTAGATAGGGCCATCAACACAATGAAGAAGAATGTGGGCAAACTCTGGGAGACAGTGGAGGACAGGAGGATCTGGTGTGCTATGATCCATGGGGTCACAAAGAGTTGGACATGATTTATCAACTAGACAAAAAAAATCATGAATTCCTTTTTAATTGATTGATTTAATTGATTGTACTTATATCCCCCTTGTTTCCCCCCCATCCTTTTACATCAATCGCCAAGCAGTCTGCTATTTGAGGAAGCAACTCAATTTCATTTTGAATGTGTGCCATTGTGCCCACAGGAAAAAAAATGACAACAAAGGCTATCTAATCTATTCCTACATTGGACAGGTCTACCCTTGCTTCGTTTCATCTGAAAATTTCAGCTCTGTTCTGGCCCCACCGCCTGTAGAGAATAAGCAAAGAGCACAGCATTTTCTGGCATATCCATGTGACCCTGTTTTCTTCTCCCTCTTCCAGACCTTCCCATTTGCTCATAAAAGGAGCCTTGTGAACAGTTCCATTCTCTCAAAGTGCAGCCACGTGGGGTCTAAAAATACTAGAAACTGATGTGTTGTGATTGTGCCACATCTGTCCCAGCTGGCTGGGGATACCAAAGAATGGCTTTTGAGTCTGAACAGAGCACTGTTCTATGTGCAGCTGGATGGCAATAAGATTTTGAATGTTGGGTGACTTCCTTCTGGCATTCACTTCTATGACAATGATCCCTTAAGATCCCAGTGGGACATTAATACGGTTGCCCTGCCTAATCCCTCAGGAATCCAATTGTATCTCAGTTGTAACATTACTATGGACGAAGGAGGAGGAGGAGAAGTCCACTGGAGTAGTTTGAACAAGTGTCACAATGGTTTACATAAGCATTTCCACCAGCATAACCCTTGGTATCAAGGAACCTTTTTAATAGCTTACTTCTATCAGACGCCAAGGATTTAAAAATACATTTCACATATTTATTGGCCTGGGTTCACCATCACTCTTAATTTAAATGGGAAGGTCTCTATTGAAGCTGAGAGATGCATTATTTCCTCTATTCATTTTTTTAAAAAATAAAATAAAATAAAAACCCTCATCAATTAAGAGAAAGCATTCTTCACGACCCAATTGAGTTATTCCTTAGTGTCTTGTAAAGGGCAGAAAGGCGGAGCTGATCTACTTCTGATCAAGAGCCAAGGGTGTCTGCTTGACCCCCAGAGACTGGGTGCAATTCACACAGCCTCTCTGGAGAGCAAAGCAATTCATAACATGTAGGGAATGGGTCAAGAATTGGAAGCAGAGATACCCAACTCTTTGACCGCGTGTGTTTGACTAGCCTGGAGCAGAATTGATGTGATCTCCTTTGATCTCATTTGCACCCTTTAGATATGAAGAAACTATGTTTCCATTGATTTCCACTAGTTTTTTTCTTTTTTAAGTCTGACCTTGGAGGGGAAGAAAACAAAGCTTTCTATCTCCCTAATGCCCAATTAACCATCAAAATTGCTCTACGTGGAAGGCAGCTGAGAAGACCTCACTGTTTTGCAAGGAGCATGATGGTACCATTGGACTCCCAACTATCTGCAATCAGGTCTATGGAGATTCTCAATCATCCAGGTCATGGTTGTCCCAAAGGTGCTTTCCCAAAAGGCAACTGGACTTTCCTTCATTTTGTTTCCTTGAAAAACGTTTCACATCTCATCTAAGAAGCTTCTTCAGTTCACTGAAGCTGAAGAACCTTCTTGAATGAGAAGTAAAATGTTTTCGAGGAAAAAAACCAAGGAAGTCCAGTTGCTTTTTGGGACTCCCTGCAGCAATCCTAATTATGCAATCCTTAATGCCTAAATTAAGTATTTTACTTAACATTAAAGATGGCCAAAGTCATATTATAAATGGGGTGAATTTTCAAAAGGACCAGCATCTTTGCACCTGTAAATGAAAAGATGTCAAGTGCCTCCAAATTTGTCAACCCCTGAAAAAAAATGAAGATAGTAAGTTTTGACTCAAACAAAGAACAAGAATGCTCAAGTTACCTTAGCAATGACTCTTGTGCATTGTTATCAGTAATTCCTAGATAACTCTAGCTTTCTCCTTCTACATACAAGATTGTTGTGTTGTTGTTAATTGCAAAGTCGTGTCCGACCCATCACGACCCCATGGACAACGTTCCTCCAGGCCTTCCTGTCCTCTACCATCTTCTGGAGTTCATTTAAGCTCACACCTTCTGCTTCAGTGACTCCATCCAGCCGCCTTCTTCTCTGTCATCCCCTTCTTCTCTTGCCCTCCATCTTTCCCAGCATTAGGCTCTTCTCCAGTGAGTCCTTCCTTCTCATTAGGTGGCCAAAGTACTTGAGTTTCAACTACAGGATCTGGCCTTCTAAAGAGCAGTCAGGGTTGATCTCCTCTAGGACTGACCAGTTTGATCGCCTTGCAGTCCTAGAAGAGATCAACCCCGACTGCTCTTTAGAAGGCCAGATCCTGAAGCTGAAACTCAAATACTTTGGCCACCGTACAAGATACTATTCTGCAAGATGTCAGTCACACTATTGGATTAGTAAGGTATGATTATAAGTACTTGAAAACACTAAAAACTTCTCTGGTATCTTTCTCCATGTTGGTTTCAGTACGTTCAACTGGACTGTTCCTTTCCTCTCTGCACTGGCTTGCTTAGTGCTCACAATAGCAATGATTGTGCTGTATTACATACCATTGCGGTACATCGTTTTAATATGGGGTAAGTCTGTTCTTCATGCAGTTTCCTTTGACTGATTGTGCTATGCATTTATATAACAGTCTGTGAAGAAATACCGGCAGTCCTCAACTTAACCATCATTTGTCTGCCCCCATTCAGAGTTACAACAGCACTGGGAAAAAGTGACTTTTGACTGATCCTTGCACTTACAACTGTTGTAGCATCCTCACAGTCATGTGATCAACACTTGAGCACTTGGCAATTTAGCATGTATTTACTATCAACTGCAGTGTCCTGGAATCAGGCGATTGCCCTTTGCAACCTTCCCAGCTAAGTCAATGGGTGGAAGCTAGATTCGTTTACTGCCTGCGTGAATCCATTAACTGCAGTGATTGACTTAACAACTGTGTCCAAAAAGGTCATCAAACCAGGCGGAACACATATAACTGCCTTGCTTAGCGGTAGAAATTCTCGTCCAAACTAGGTTGCAAGTCCAGACTATCAAATAGTGGGGCCAGTTCTGGGCCTCTGCGATTCAGAGATTGCAGAGCAAGTAAGTTCTTTGGCTTTAATAATGGAGTCTCCATGCAGTGGACTGAAACAAGAGCAGGCTACTTCTGGAATCAGGGGTAGGGGGTTGGACTAGAAGACCTCCAAGGTCCCTTCCAACTCTTATTGTATTGTATTGAGATGGATAGAGATAAAGGTAGATCAGGGGTCCCCAATCCCTGGGTTGTGGCCCGATATCGGTCCACGGCCTGTGGGGAACTGGTCTGTGTAAGCTGCGGGAAAACATGGGAAACCATCTTTGGGAAACGGCAAGATGGAACGATGCTAAACATGGCACACTTCTAGTTCAGAGGTAAATAGTTTCTTTTGGTCTGACAATCACACACAGCTTCTAATGGGTTGTGCTAGGAGTTGAACTCCAAGAAGATAAAGAGCAGCTTGAACAAAATCAAAACAAAATGAAAATTCCATCTAATGAAGGAAGCACAGTTATTATCTGGCACTGAAAAGTGGAAAGGTCAACTCAGCAACAGAATGCTTCCTTTTTTTCTCATCGGAATATGATGAGTTGCTTAAGGCACCCTACTAGAAACTGGGAGATGACGAGCTCTAGTCCCGCCTCAGACATGAAAGCTCAGTCATCGGGAAACTGAGAGTTCTAGTCCTACCTTAGGCGTAAGAGCTACCGAGGTGATTTGGGGCCAATCATTCTTTCTCCACCTAACTCATCACGCAGATTTGTTGTTATGGGTGAAATAGGTGTCAGACCTGCCTCAACCTGGTCTTCTAGGTGAAAACAACCCTTCACGTAATTTGTTGAGAAAGCTGCTCTTCCCAAATTGGGATGCAGAAGCCTAAAGAGGACACTTGTATAGAAGACAACTTAGAGTCCCCAGAACTTGTTCGGACAGATTCTCCGGCCCTTCGGAAATGTGCTAGCCATCTTGCCGGTGGCAACTCTCCCTTCTCCACTCCTTCTTGTGTGAACAATGGGATTTTTCATTCCTGAGGCGAACGGCTGGCTGACTTTTGCAATAAATCTCCCACTGCTTTCTTCAAGGAAGAAACGCTTGTGCCCGATTCCACGTGAGAGCAACATGTGTCTGGCTGCTCTGTGTTTTCACACTCATTCTTTTTCCCTTGCAAAACTCGTTCGGCCACCCGCCCACCTTCCTGTCTGAGCATGTCAGGCAGCTCCATGCTGTGGGGTGAGTGTGTGTGTGTGTGTGTGTGTGTGTTTTTCTGCTCCCCTCCCCACCCAGCTTTTTAAAACCCCTTTTCCCTTCTGTCTTTTTCCAGGCATACATAAATTTACAAAGAAGCTAAGGAATCCTTATGCCATTGACAATAATGAGTTGCTAGACTTCCTCTCCAGAGTCCCATCTGATGTTCAGAGGGTAAGTATGGAATGGGGTCTCCAGCAGAGAGAAGTGGAGCTGAGGCCAAAGAGCAGCAGGTGTGATGCTGGAGGGCCGTTTTTGGCTAGCAGTGCACAAGCGTCGGGCGGGATCATTAACCAGGAGGGGTGAGAAGAACGAGGGCAGGCAGAGGAAAAAAGGGCCATCTGGGCCATCCAACAGAGTTCTCTTTTTTCAAAAGCCCGTGTGCATGTGTGTCCGGAAAAAGGCTACCCCAGATTTGTATTTTCATGAGAACTGATATGAATTTACCCTTTTTTAATAAGCAAAGCACAATAACATTTTTTTTTTAAAAAAGAAAAGCTGGGTAAAGTAACATTGACAAAATTTGCCCAACTTTACAGCAAAGATTGTTCTGATTTTAATATGATTCCTTCTGTATCAGTCATTTATTAGCATTTATTAGGGGTTATGTGTGAGAAAGAGGGGAGGGAGGAAGAGAGGGAGAGAGAGGGAGGGAGAGTGAAAGAGAGAGAGAGAGAGAAAGAGAGAGAGGGAGAGATTAACACTTAACCGGAAAGCCAATGTGGTCTAGTGGTTAAGGTACCGTGCTAGAAAGCGGGAGTTCTAGCCTTAGGCGTGGAAGCCAGCTGGCTGACCTTCAGCCAGTCCTTCTCTCTCAACCCAACTCATCTCACAGGGTTGTTCTGGGGAAAACAGAAGGAGGAAGGTGTGTTGCCACCTTGAGTTATTATTTGTAAAAATAATAGAGGTGGGATATAAATAAAGAAAAAAACAAAGAAAGACACACAATGCTCCTCAAGTCTGTTTTGGGCCAGAAGGCAAAGACTGCAACCTGAATGAGTCAACAATTTTTACACTTTTAAAGATCTTTTTAATCCGTGGAACAACTTGCCTCCAGAAGTTGTGAGTGCTCCAACACTGGACGTTTTTCAGAAGAAGTTTCACTTCTCATCCAAGAAGCCTCATCAGTTCTGAGAAAGCTTCACGTCTCATTTCCCCCCCCCCCCGCCATCAGAACTGATGAAGCTTCTTGGATGGGAAGTGAAACTTCTTCCTCCTCAAGGAAAAAAATGATCCAGTTGCCTTTTGAAGAGAAAAGCACCTTTGAGTGTCTAGTAGGGAAATCTGGTTCCTTCGTCCAACCCTTAAAAAGAAAAGTCCAGAAAGAAAATATATATATATATTTTCTGCAAAATGCGCAAATCGAGTGGAAGCTTCTCCCCACCCAAATTCTGGCACATTTCATTAGGACCAGAGGGGGGGAAAAATCTGTTTTTAATATTTTGGTGTTCTAGAAATGATCCATGACTCTTCTAATCCTTCCTGCAATTAATCCCCCATGTTCCTGTGTTTAGAAGATGACTCACGAGTATTGGACCTTCCTTCGTTTTTCTTTGATTCCTCTCTGGGGAGCCATTAACACACAGCGGAGCAAGTTGGGCTTACCTTTCTCCAACGCGGCATCTGTTTGTTTTTACAGGTGCAACAGGCTGAATTGAAACCATACAGCAATTCCAGTCCCATTAGGAAGAAAAGGAGCGCCTAGTAGGATATGAACCTTGGAATGCAAGGTGCCCCTTCCGGGAACGCTGCATGCATGGGCTGCCTCTCTGCGCCCCCCTCCCGCTCGGCCTTGCAGATCCGATCAGTGCTGCGTTCACTCCATCCAGCTTGTCTGGAAGTCATATTTGGACTTCAAACAAAAAAAGAAAATCAAAGTTATTCGTAGCAAGCTTGACCTGGCTGATTTGTCCCTGGAAGAGCAGAAAACAGGACTGTTCAAATCCAGAATGGCGTTCAGCGCAGATTGGAGAACTAAAGCCAGAGGAGATGGTGGGTTATTTTTTTTTTAAATTCCATTAGACAATGGAAAAGCCATTTTTAATTTCCCATTTTTGCATGCCGATTTGTCCCTGACATAACAATTAAAACTACGAAAGCCAGAATGACACTCAGCACGGATTCCAGAGTCAAAACCAGGCGGACTCTGTCTTATTTTGTATAATAGAAAAGTGCCTCTTTTTTTTTCTTCTTTTTTTTACTGTTTTTGTTTTGCATACCAGTCGATCGCTGGAAGTAAAGAACTAGAACTTTTCCTAGCTTGAATGGAATTTCTTAGTATGGAACCCAGAGTCAAAATCACGGGAAGACTTTATTTTTTTTTCTATAATGGGAAGGACTTTTTCCCCTCCACCATGCCAATTGGCCCTTAAGAAGTCAGAATGCTTTCAAGATGAGAAGTGATGAAGTGGTGAAGAAGGTTTGTTTTTTTCCTTTTGCATCACAGAAAGCCCCCCCCCCTTTTCCACCTGACAGAAACACATCAAGTGGCTTCATTGCTTGGCGTAGATCAGACATGTCAAACTCGTGAGCTTTTTTGCCATTGCCGGAGCTTTTTTGCCATTGCCGGCAATGGGGTGGGCGCGGCTCCAGTATGATGAAACTGGCCTGTGGACCGGCAGTTTGACACCCCTGGCATAGATGATTCTGAACTGCAGATTACTAGATCTTTGAAACCTGTTTTAAAGCACTTTAAAACTGTTTAAAACCTGTTTTAAAGCACTTCTCAGAACTGCAGAGGAATGATCAATGTCTTCCTTCCTTCCTTCCTTCCTTCCTTCCTTCCTTCCTTCCTTCCTTCCTTCCTTCCTTCCTTCCTTCCTTCCTTCCTTCCTTCACAGTTGCTGCCAGATGCCAGAGTGATTAGGCTTAGAAGGAGACTATTGCTGGCAATAGACTTCCTTCAAGCCATCATTTAACTATATTGTGTCATTTGAATCTCCCACTGATCTCTGATGTTGCTCAGTTTTGATTTCCTTCTAGAGCTCCATCTTGTTGGATCCTTTGCCTTCTCATCCTCAGTGGGGGTCTTAGTCTAATAATACATTGATGACGCATATATAAAAGTACTTTTATAACTAGACACATGGCAAAAATGGAATGAGACCTTTGTTTTTATGTATTTTTAAAAGAAGCTGTTGTATTTAAATTGTGCAATCTAGGTTGAGTCTGCTGTGTTGTTTACATGGATTTGGAGCAAGCACAGGAGTTATTAAGATCTAATCTGTCTCCTGCAGTTTAAAGCAAAACATTTTAAAAGCTAGACTATTCAGACGGGACAAAGAAACTGGTTGTTGAATCCACTACTTTCAGTCTCAGGCCCTTCTAACTAATGTTTAGGGATTATTATTATAAATGATGTTAGAGAACATTCTTGAAATGTTGGAGAAGACTTTTTGAAAGTTCCTTTGACTGCAAGCAAATCAAATCGATCAATCCTAAAGGAAAACAATCCTGGCTGTTCTTTGGAAGGACAGATCCTGAAGTTGAAGATCAAATATTTTGGCCACCAAATGAGAAGAGAGGATAGCTTGGAGAAGATCCTGATGTTGGGAAAGATGGAAAGGAAAAGGAGATGGGAACGGCAGAGAATGAGATGGCAATAGCAATAGCCCTTAGACATATATACTGTTTCACAGTGCTTTACAGCCCTCTTTAAGCAGTTTGCAGTACCAACCTCGGAAGGATGGAAGCCTGAGTCAACCTTGGAGCCAGTCAGGATTGAACTGCTGGCAATGGGCAGAATTAGCCTGCAATCCTGCACTTTAACTACTGCGCCAGCACAGATGGTTAGATAGTGTCATTGATGCAATGGTAATGAATTTGAGAAGATTCAGGGAGACAGTGGATGACAGTGGGGGCCTGGCATGCTACGATCCATGGGGTCATGAAGAGTCCGACACAACTTAGCGATTGAACAATAAAGTCATTATAAATGAGTGTTGAGTAGTGATTCCGCACCATATTGTTGACTGACAACTGACAACTCCCATTATTTCTAGCTTTGGTCAGGCAGAGTTGCTTATGGCATTAATAAAACAGTTATTTAAAAAATCTAGAGGTCCAAAGTTGGTGAGCCTTCAGTTACAGATATGTTGAACCTGAGTCTTCAGAAGGCTGTTGGTATTTTATGCTTGCCTTGTAGAAGAAGGAAAAACATTATTAAATGCATCGCTGGAGAAGACTACACTTAGTTATTGTTAATTTCACCTAACTCTAAAGATAATTGACATGAGATCAATTATAGTTTTGTCCTGGTCTCTTCCCTCTGTTTAGGATTTAGTCATTGCATGCCTCGCAAATGTCATCCACAGCCTGTAGACCAGAGAGAAATTGCACCTTGTCTGGGGCTCAGTTTCCAGATAAGCTTCAATTCTAAGGGGATCATTATATTTGAAAAAGTAACCCCAAAGACTGATCAGTTGCAATGATTCCCCTAACAAGTGTGGCAAGAAAGATTGTAAAATAGGACAAAATTCATTTAACAGTTCTCTTGTTTAGCAGTGGAAATTTGGGCTTCAATTGTGATTGTCAGCTGAGGAGGTTTTTCCCCGAAAATAAGATTGGGTCTTATATTAATTTTTGTTCCAAAAGTTGCATTAGGGCTTATTTTCCAGCTAGGTCTTATTTTGGGGGGAAATATAGTACTAAATGTGTCCATCTGGCTGACGATCTTAATTGGGGCTTATTTTTGGAGTGGGGCTTATGTTATGAAAAATCATGCTAGGGCATGTTTTCCGGTTGGGTCTTATTTTTGAGGAAACATTGTATATATACATACATACATACATGCATACACGCATACATACATACATAGTCCAACTTTGCAGCAGGGGAAAGGGTAGCAATTCACACAGTCCCGTGAAATGATCTTTATAGTCCAGTTTACAATCCCCTAATGTTGACTACGTCATGGATGAGCATGCATCTATCGGGTGCTTTAAAGGTGAATTTAGAGGAGCAATGTTCTTGTGAGAACGGGAATGCCCTTGTTTTTAAAAGTGAGTTGGCTGTTTTATGTGTTGTGCCTTGAAAATCAATCTAAAGTGGTATTAGTAGTGACAAGCAGGCCAAGAATCCCTGGTGTGCAATCATGAAAGAATTTGTTTTCAAGAAATAAGAGACTTGTTCGCTGCTCAAAAGTGGGAAGTGGGAGAAGATGAGGTTGGGCAAAACCTCACTCCTGAATCTTCCCAAGGGCTCGTATCGGGAAGAGGCAAAAGGCAGATATCTTTTTTCAGATTGAACTAAGACATGCTTAGTCCGACGTTAAGCTCATTCTTTCACTGTAGGCTTCTCTTCACCTTGAATCTGTTTTTCATATTAGACCTCCCTCTCTTCCCCTTTCTGGTCATTCTTTCCCTTTTAGTCAGGTCTCCTCTCCGTGATTTGATTTACTTTCAGGTTACTAATATTTTGTGGACAGCTGCAAGAAGCTGTTTCGGTTTGCTCACATCATATTCACCCACCCACCCACCCAGGGCAGCCTCAGTCTTCTGGAAAGCACTACCTTTATTGCTCTCCCCTGGATTCAACTCATTGTCCTGCATGGTTGTATCATTTTAAAGACACATAGACCCATTTAAATGAAGCTCCCCTTGTCCCTTTCGTAATCTTTAGGAAGGAAAAGGAAAATAGACTGAGGTCTGCTGACATATCTGAAGAATAACTAAAGAAGCTTCTCGGAGGAGAAGAGAAAGGTTTTCAAAGAGGAAAAAAACCAAGAAAGTCCAGTTGCCTTTTGGAAAAAGCACGTTTGGGACAATCAGGACCTGGATGATTGAGCTTCTCCATGGACAAGCAGCTCTTTCTTACTCTCCTACCCAAGCTCACAATCTATCAACCTATAGATCGGGGTCCTCAAACTTGGCCACTTTAAGACTTGTGGACTTCAACTCCCAGAATTCTCCAGCCAGCATAGTCCACAAGTCTTAAAGTGGCCAATTTTGAGGACCCCTGCCATAGATTGTGGGTTAAACAGAAGAACACTGAGACTGACATTCCCCTAAACTCTGCTGAAGATGTTGCCTGGCCTGGTAACAAAACATTCAGAAACCATCCCACAAGCTCGGAGAACGAACCTTCACCTTCGCCACCTATCAACCCATCCATTACGCTGTTCTATGACCTTTCTCCTAGGGCCAAGCTGCATCTTAAGGAATGCTAAGCCCGCCTGCAGCAAAAGAAGGCCCAAGACAAGGGTGAAGGTAACATCTCAGCCGCCTCCTATTCCTGGCAATGGGTGACTTTACTGAAAGTCAACACCATCGTCTGGCATTTATCATTGCCAGTCTTTCTGTGCATATGTTTGGGTATTCGCCATGCATTGTTAACAGTGATTGTCATGTAATTAAATCACTGCTCATCATGAGTGCCTATTTTTATGCTGAGATAAGCAGCAAGAATCCGCAGCAGTGTCCCCCAGATCAATAAAGATGTTCCCGGTAGGATTACAAATAGACTGAGGTTGAGCAGGGCACCAGAATTAATTAGAAATTATTTCTCTGTCTCTCTCTCTCTGTCTCTCTCCTCCCCCTCGTTCCATTTTCAATACATATTTAATTGTTTATCTATTTCCAAAGGAAAAAAACAACACCTCTCTTTAATTGTTGGTGGCTATTTTTTTGCCAATGGAATCCTGGATAATGGGCATTTTCTTGCAAAGCCTAACGGTGAGGAGGAAAGGAAGGGATCAAATAATATGCAAAAGTAGCCAGCACTGTTTTGGTCTCTTGAAAGTGACAATCTTAGAAATCCGGGTCCCCGAAGCTAATCTCACACGTCCTCCTTTCTGTTCCATTCCCTCTGCTCACTGGCTTTAATCCGGATCACAAGTGGGTTTGGCTGTAATCAACCATTAGAGCTAAATGGGATCTGTGGGTGAAGCAGAAAAAGTCTCCTGTATTTTTCCCCTTTTGTTTCTTCTTCCATTTCACTAAAGAGAAGCGGATTTATAAACGATTTTGAAAGGAGAAGACTTGGCTGGGATGCCTTTATTGCAGGGGTCTTCAAACTTGGCCCTTTTAAGACTTGTGGACTTCAACTCCCAGAATTCTATTCTATTCTATTCTATTCTATTCTATTCTATTCTATTCTATTCTATTCTATTCTATTCTATTCCTTATTTTTATTTCTATTCTATTCTTATTTCTATTTCTATTCTATTTCTATTCTATTCTTTATTTCTATTTCTATTTCTATTCTAACTTAGTATTCTCCAGCCATGTTTGGATCACTGTTCCTTTAATTCCTAGTCTCCATGTCCACATTACGCTTGCACATTTCATCCAGAGCAGTATTTCTCAACTTTGGCAAGTTTACGATGTGTGGACTTCAACATCCAAAATTCTCCAGCTAGCAACGCTAGGTGGAGAATTCTGGGAGTTGAAGTCCACACATGGTAAAGTTGTCAAGGTTGAGAAACACTGATCCAGAGGGTCTTGACTCAACTCATAAAACTGGTCACAACTAACTTAGATTGCACTGATTATACTTGCACATTTCATCCAGAGGGTCTTGACTCAACTCATAAAACTGGTCACAACTAACTTAGATTGCACTGATTTTAACACGAAATCAATGTAATTGGGAATTTAATTGAACTCTGGATTTGTTCTTACCTTGGTTTATCTGGAATAGGTGTAGGAAAGTCATCTTGAGACAAAATATTTGCTTTGTAAGGAATGAAGGAAACACTCTCCATTCCATCTCAGCTGTTCATTTGCTTTGGATAAGGACGATCACCGGTGTCAGCTTTCCCACTGGAGAGAAAACACACACACATATTAATTCTCCTGTTTCTTCTTTTTTTTCTCCTCACCACCCCTCCCTGTTTCTGGCCTTAGCTGTCAGGATCTTTTAGAATCGACATACTCCTCTGAGGAAGTCAGAACAGCAATGGGAAAATGAGTAAAACCCTATTATAAAACAGTTGTCCAAGAAGTTACGCACCACACAGAGTAGAGATCAATAGGCTGTGAAGGTTAAATCTATTTTCACACTATGTTCCATTTCACAGTCTAATGGTGTTTTAATGTGTCTGTCACCAATTCTCCCCTTCAAGTTACCCAGGTAGGGCCTTTACAAAAGAGGAGTTGCATTTCTCCTCAACGCAGTAACATTTATTTACTAGCCAAGTTCTGACACCTTTTCTTTCCTCTGT